GGAACTGAGAATGTTTACCTTTAAGAACAACTCGGCAGAGAAACAGCGTGTTATCTCTGGTGTTAAGTGAATGACTATTATTGTTTTTCACTGGAAGTCCTTGCATACTTTCTTGATCAAAGGGATACAGCAGGTCCTGGGAGCGGTGGGAAGTACCATCAAGTTGCAGCCGACTTCCAGTGACCCTGTAGGGTTTTCAAGGCAAGAGATGAACAGGGGCGGTTTGCCATTGCCTGCCTCTGCAGAGAGACCCTGGACTTCCTTGGCGGTCTCCCATCCAACTACTAACCAGGGCAGACCCTGCTTAGCTACCGAGGTCTGACGAGACTGGGTAGCCTGGCCATCCAATGTCAGGGTGCAAGTCCAGGGAGCAGGCCATTTTCCAGACTGTTTATTGATTTACCTTTCTCTGCTCTTTACTGCAGTCTGTTTCGAAATCATGGTGGTGGGGGGTGGGCGGTTTGGAGAAAACAAAAAGATATGCACACCGTTTTTGCCAGAAGCCACCTATATTTGTTCTCAGGATTTAATACCGGAATGCTTTGAAAACTGACGAGACCTCAAAACTGGATTCACCACTGCCACTGGATTCACCAGCAAACCAGCAAACCGGGGCATCCCTCCTGCCCCAGGGCTTTCCTCCCATTGTGTAGCAGTTTTCGGACCTCGAGTTAGCGGGGTTCTGAAAAAGAAAAAGGTTTGATGACCCAGCCCATCAGATACTTGAGCTGGGCCAGTAGCCATTCTTTAGTGCCCTGGGGTGTGGGGGGGAATTAATCCACTACCGCATCCCCCAGCCAGGGTAAATCAACCATGGTGTTGGTTTACATAGGTTGATGGGGAAAGGTGGAGCTAACCGGCTACGTGTTGTTCAGATCCAGCAATAAGAGCAGATCTTTCCTCTGAAGCGAGTGGCTTCGTAAAGAGCACGGTGCAAGCTCAAAGAGCTGCAACTGTTCTTCGGCCCGGGGCCCCACAATTGCAGCAGGGCACCTTAGGAGATGCACCCGAGAGCATCGAGGACTCACCTAAGCAAGAGTCTGGAGGGCAGGTGAACCGGACTTTGTAGTCCTCGCAGGAACCTTTCTTCTGGTCTCTGTTTGCACAAGCAAATCCTTCAGCAGCACTGAAACTACAAAACAAAGAGAGAGAGAGAGGCATGACACAGCTAGCTGAATGGTGATACAGCAGGAGACGGAATGAGAAGGATGCTGAGAAGTATCAGTTCCGGCCCATTGGCGATGGTGGCTATGGCAGACCTATGGCTCACGATGGGACCCCTCTGGGTCAGGCTCTAATTCCTGCCTGCCTGCACCCTCAGGTGTGTAAGCCAGTAGAGGGCACTATAGTAATTCACATGAAGGTCCTCCTGTTGGCCCCTGGATTTTGGCCACTGTGTGACACAGAATGTTGGACTGGATGGACCACTGGCCTGACCCAACATGGCTTCTCTTATGTTCTTATGTAAGGTATAGGTGCCACATGTTAGAGTGCCTGGACACTGGAGGGCGCTACATCACTCTAAAAGGTAAAGGTTCCCTTGCTCGAAAGCCAGTCGAGTCCGACTCTAGGGTTGCGGTGCTCATCTCCGTTTCAAAGCTGAAGAGCCAGTGCTGTCTGAAGACACTTCCGTGGTCATGTGGCCAGCATGACTAAACACCAAGGTGCACAGAACGCTGTTACCTTCCCACCGAAGTGGTACCTATTTCTCTACTTGCAATTTCTTGCTTTCGAACTGCTAGGTTGGCAGGCGCTGGAACTAGAGACGGGAGCTCACTCCATCATGCGGCACCCGGGTCTTGAACTGCTGAACTACTGACCTTCCACAGCCTGCAGTTCAGCGTCTTAACCACTTGAGCCACCACAGCTCCACATCACTCTAAGCATGCATAAATGTCATCTCCTTGAATGGGTTGCCTTAACCTTTTGCCTTAACCTGGGAGCTGACTTCTGACCCCTCCTCTTTCTCTCTGCGCTTTTGTCTTCCCCATCCTTCTCATGGCTGTTCACGGAGTCACATGTCTGTACAGGCCTCTCCTGTAAAAACAAGGCCCTCATACTGTCAAACCTCGCTCTGCTTTGCTTTGCTCAGTTTGCCATAAATGCTGGGGGGAGGGACATTCCTGCCATAAATGCTAGGGGGAGGGACATTCCTATGGGGAGGGGAGTGACTGATATATGAGTGGGAACCTTTCGCTTGTAGAAGCTGTAATTTTCCTTAAAGATGCCTTCCTGTCTCCCGGAGGAATGTCTTTGAGCCTTTTGGTGCCAGCTTGCACTTATCTACAACGGGATCGTACATTCCCAGGTTGGGGTAGTGATGGCGACGGCTAGGCGGGATGATTGTGGCGTGTGATTGGTCAAGGGAAAAAGGGGTCTTCTTCGAATTACCTATATCTGTTTTGGTATGTGCCAAAATCGCCAGTTCTAACACAGTGCTGTTCTGGATCATGCACATATCTCAATAAACATATCACTGCCAAAGAGTGTGTTGTTGAGAGCAACTTGACCGGAAGTCTGACACATACTTCCATGCATGCTGGCCACTTGTGATAGGGAAAGCACTCTTTAGATTAGGCTTCTCCCTCTCGACTGCAACCTGAATGTGGATCTACCTGAATAAATGTAAACTTCACCTTTTTTTTGCAATATACTTCTTGGGAGATTTATTTACTGTACTCAGTACCACGCTTGCATGACTGGGCGAACTCTGCTATATTAACCAAACATCCCAATACCGCAACCCCAAATCCACCTGATTCTTCGGGGATCTAGAGGGCCGATCCCATGCTGCTTTCGGCTAGAGAGCTCCATGAACGCTGAAGATAAGGAGCTCTGTATCAGAAGCTGAGGGGAAAGAAGATGTACCTGCTTGAGCAGGTGGATGCTGATTGAAGTCCTGACCCTCAAATGAAGAGGCAGGCAGGTTTTCCTGCCTTTTTGATCCCGTGGGCACCTTTGGAATCCTGACAGCAACCACAAAATGGCTGCCATGGGAGATGGAACCAACCACAAAATGGCCCCCGCAAAAGGTAGAAACCCCTAGAGGAAGCCCAAATGCAAGGGACAAGAGCACTATTTTTCCAAAATATATAGTGGGAAAGAGCAGTGTGAGAGAGAATAAAACCAACACTGTAGTGGCCACTGGAAAAAAAATGTTATTTTAGTCTGCACAGCCAGTCAGATCCATTGGCCAATCAGTAGCCCTGCTGAGCAGCAGCCCCACCTACTTTCTAAGAACGCTCAGTGGGTGCCAGGAAACTGCTGGCGGATGCCAAGGCCCCATGGGCCCCATGTTGGGGAACCCCTGTGCTAAGTCATTATGTCGTTACGATCCTCATAATCCTGTTCAGTCATTATGATCCTCCTCCAAATCCAACCCAACGTAAGGGAATCACCCCACAAGCAGTGCTCTTCATACACATGACGACCATTTATTTGTGTGTGAGTAGGGCAATGTGTGTATTCACCAGTTTCGGTACACACAACTAGAAACCCAGCATTTGTGGGAGGGTATACAGGAGCTGCGGTGGCTCAAGTGGTTAAGACCCTGAACTGCAGGCTGTGGAAGGTCAGTAGTTCAGCAGTTCAAGACCCGAGTTGCCGCATGACGGTGTGAGCTCCCGTCTTTAGTTCCAGCTCCTGCCAACCTAGCAGTTCGAAAGCAAGAAATTGCAAGTAGATAAATAGGGACCACTTTGGTGGGAAGATAACAGCGTTCCGTGCGCCTCGGCGTCTAGTCATGCCGGCCACATGACCACGGAAATGTCTTCGGACAGCGCTGGCTCTTCGGCTTTGAAACGGAGATGAGCACCGCAACCCTAGAGTCGGATTCGACTGGCTTTCGAGCAAGGGAACCTTTACCTTTACCTTTATACAGGTAGATGTACCAAAGCAGGAAAATAGGCATGTTGTCCTACTAACACAAAATGGTGACTGTGCAAATTGGGAGGACTGCAGGT